GACTGAAAGGGGACAAAAATGAAAATTATTGCTTCTAAGTGCCTGCTGCAAGTACTATTCTCCACGTTCATTTATTCATTCTTCTCAACAATAGCTTAAAGGTGGATATTAAGTGTCCTCATTTTTAAAAATGAGAAATCCAGTCCCAAAGTATTCACTTGCTTGCATGTGTCATCACAGAGCGAGTAAATGATGGAGTTAGAAGCTGAACTAGCACTCTTCCTTCTTCCCCAGTAAGAGCCCCTGAAAGCTCTCCCCACGGAGTACTTACTGCCTTTATGTTCAGCACTGCCAGGGTTAGCAAAGATTGTGTTAGACCTCATTCCTACTTTATCATTCTTAGAACCTTGTGAAGGAAATTTATTTAAAACAAAAAATAAACACATATGATCATATGAATTAACAGTCATGATCTGTCAGACACTTTAACAGAGTGTATCGAAATGACTAAAGGCCGAAGAGAATTTGCTTCATCTCTTTCAGTCAGCTAAAGGGACTTTCTGGAGGGCCTCGCATTTATACAAGGGTGTGTTTGGCAGGATGAAAAGCTTTGAAAGAAGAGTGAGTTGGGAATTTCAAAGAATTCAAGGAATAGAGTCCAGAGTAACCTGCTAGTGGAAAGAGATTTTTATGAATTAGTAAGACTCCTCATTCAGAATCATACAGCAGAAGAATACTCCCTCAGGGGTCCAAGGGAAAAGAAGGGAAGGCAATGAGGGAATCGGGAAACTTTAATGATAGAATTAAAGATGAACTGAAGGAAGTGGTGCTTGAGGCAGGCACACATCCCAAACATGGCGCTCCTCTCTCTGACCCTACACAAGTATAAGACTGTTAGGGCCTCCTTCTAGCTATCAGTTACTCCATTCCTTCCTACTCTGCTTGGGACTTTGTTTCCACAAATTCTTTCCAAGAGGGTCCTTGGTCTCTGGGCATTTCCTGCATCAATGCCCTACACTCCTCACCATTCATCTTTCCTGACTTCCTCCTTTACTGGGCAGTTGGATCTTTATATGGCTGCATGCCTGTGTTTATGTGACCATTAAAGTCTTTTGCGTTCACTGCAATCTCACCACAATCCTGTTGGCTCCAGACTATTATAAAGTTATCTTGGACTCCATCCTGGATGAGTATTTACTGAAGTACTCAAAGGACCTCTTTACAAGGCATGAACTTTACTATAGTGAAGTTCCCATGCTTGTTTTAGTTCCCTTTACTCCTCTAGGGCAAAGACTATGTCTTCCTATTCTACTGTAACTCCAGGGTAAGTAGGGCAAGGCTATGTAATGCATGAATGCTCAGCAAATGTGTTGCCTCATTTGGGACAGATTATTTCATGTGTATGAGAAGTGCCAATCATGAAAGATTTTGGCCATTAGTTCTTGTTTAGAGAACTGCTTCATCTTTCATCTCTTTCTTTAGTTGACTTGATTCTGCCATATCTCAGAGCACAAGGGTGAGTCTATCTCTTTCTAAACACGTTTTCTGTTACTGCCTAAATCTTAGCCCAGCTTTGTTTTTTTTTTTCTTTTTTTTAGATGAGTAGTTTAGCTTGTGATTAGTCTTGCTTTTCTTAGCCCACCCCCACTTCTCTTGAATAAAGAGATGGCCAGGGAGAAAACAGATCTCAGGTTTTGTTTGGTTTTGCCATGTTTGTGTATGCATACTGAAAATCAATACTATTCTGATTCCTATCTTCTCTTTCCAGAGGCTTAAAATCTACTAAGGGCCTCTGCAGGCTCCAGCCAGGCCTTCTCCCCCAGCACTAAGACACCACCCTGATCACTCTCAGTCTCTTGTGAATTCCCTTGTCTTTTCTTCAGATTTGACAAATTGTCTCTTAGATAAGCATCTGCCTATTGTTTTACCCACTAGTAAGATGATTCACTGATTCAAGAGTTGCTGTGTGGAGAGCTGGTGCACAGTGAAGCTTGTCATGGGCTTTGATCTCTTTTCCAGGGGCCAGTGGGATGACTTCAGGGTTTGGTTCTTTGCCGGGAGTGATGTGTTTTGTTAGGCTTGTTTAGCTCATGGTTAGGACCCAAGTGCCTCCAAGGAGAAGGGAACCACATGTTTATCTACTTTGTGTTTCAGGGCATTGTTCTGACTGCTGATTCCAGTGGTTCCAGAATGTGTCTTCTTTTGTTTCCTATGGACTCTCAAAAACTGTCCCCCACAGACACACCTGTTCAGATTGGGTTGCCCTCAGGCCATCTCCCAACTTGGTTTTTGCCAAATTTGCAAAGTTTCTGAGGTGTCTGGAACCCCTACTGGGCTGTATTCCCTCCTCCTATCTCCCCTCCAACTCCTCCCACCCTCTATTTGTAGGTTGTGTCTACAGATTGACACACTGTGACACATAGTGACTTTCTCTCTATAGCTGTACTAGCTTCTAGACTGAAGGCCAGGTTGAGTCTCACCCATATCTGGTTACTAGGTTGATCTCTATTCTGTACAAGTAGATTCCTGTGTAGGATGGTGCATTTCTTTTACAGGGAGAAACCTAGTTTGTTTTTGAAGTGATTAGTGGCTACAGGGTTCTTTGGAGAAAGCCTAGGGGCTTTTATAGCCAGTGTTACTCCTTTGTTTGTTTGGAGTTGGACTTTGAGGGGCTCTCAGGTTGGTTGTTTTGGAGTCTTTATGAATGGCCTGCCCAGAAAACAAATGGGGAACAATTCCAGGCAGTCTGTGTCCAATTAGGTATCTGTCACAGCTGCAGTGGGCCTCTGGTTGCGTTAGAAATGCCTTTTTCCCTTAGACATTCTCTTCTCTTTATTGTTTACTTTTTACTGCAAAAGCAGCACATGTTTATTCTAGAAACTTTAGAAAATACAGATAGACAAAAGGAAGAAACTAAAAATGCCTACTGCCACCACTAAGCAATAACCAGTATTACTGTTTAGGTGTATAGCTGCAGGGGGCAGTGAGCCTCCCACATCCATACCTAATTGAGAATATGCTGTGGAGATTTTCCTACGGAGAAGTCTGTGGCTTTCACTGGATTCTCAACCTTAGGGCTCTTTTTGATCTGTACTACTTGCCTTGGCCAGCCAGAGCTGAGTAAAACTAAATTTTGGTAGCCAAGCTGCTTTTACAATATGTTTTTTAGTATTTTGGGAGACAGTTTGTAGCCTAGCTATTTGGACCCAGATTTTAGAAGGGGACTGTGACAAGTATTTTGCTCCCTAAAAATAATAATATTTATTGAGCATTTGCCATGTACCAGTTTCTATGCTGACAGCTGTGGCTTCTAAAGAAACCGAGAGAACATGGGAGAATCTCCAAGAACTATTTGATTATACAGTAGAACCTCCATAGTTGACCACCTCCTGGGGGAGACCTAATGGTCATAGACCGGACGGTCATAGACTGGACATGCACCACATGTACCTATCAGTACAGTAGGCCTAGTTCCTTATGTTGACCGCCTCTATATATTGGCCAGTTTGTTGTAGTCCCTTGGGCAGTCAACATAGAAAGCTTCTACTGTATTTGCCAAATGTGGGATATTAGCTTTTCCTTGGATTGTTGTCATTCTGCATCTTGGTTAAGTAGGACGGGATTATGTGTATAGCCTCCGTGAGACTGATTATCAGGCCCCCAAGTTCTCTTCTAACTGCCTAAGTCCTAAATATGCAAAGAGCAGAGAGAGTCCCTTTCAATTTGGAATGGCAGTGCTCTCATTGAAATTCTGCCTGGACCCAGTGTCTGCAGGCTTCTTATTTGCACCTTGTTACCCACCTCCAAAATAGATAATAAAACAACCCTACAGGGAGAGCAGTGGGTAAGAGAGGAGAGGATTTAACTACACAGCTATCTTCAGATTTCTTGCAGTAATGTATGGACTTTTTTTTTTTCAAGACAGAGTCTCTTTTGCCAAGGCTGGAGTGTAGTGATGTCATCATACCTCCCTGCAACCTCAAACTTCTGAGCTTAGTAGATCCTCCTGCCTCAGCCTCCCAAGTAGCTGGGACTATAAGCGTACACCACTGCACCCAGCTAATTTTTCTATTTTTTGTAGAGACAGGGTCTTGTTATGTCGTCCAGGCTGTTATCCAACTTCTGGCCTTGGGCTGTCTTCCTACCTCAGCCTTGGCAAACACTAGAATTATAGATGTGAGCCACCCTACCTGACTTGGGCTATTTTATTAGTACATCAAATGATAAAACTTGCTGTTATTCCAAGTCCTTCATACAGATTCAACTCAAGACTTTCATGATATGGTTTAAAGGTGAACTTGTCTTGTTGCTTATCCACCATGGGGCCACTAAAACAGCTGTAGCTTGTCACAGACTCTTCAAAGTCAAAAACTATTTTAGGGCCGGGTACAGTGGCTCATATTTGTAATCTTTGCACTCCAGGAGGCTGAAGCCTGTGGTTCATTTGAGTTCAGAAGTTTGAGACCATCCTGAGCAAGAGCGAGACCCCATCTCTACTAAAAAGAAAAAACTAGCCAGGCATGGTGGCAAGTGCCTGTAGTCCCAGTTACTCAGGCAGCTGAGGCAAAAGGATCACTTGAACCCAGGAGTTTAAGATTGCTATGAGTTATGATGCCATGGCACTAATTTACTCAGGGCAACTGAAGACTGTGTCTCAAAAAAAAACCCCAAAATATTTATGTCTGATGCTCTTTGTCATAGGACACACACAGGAATACTTTTGAAGGTCTTTAAATGCCACTGCCCCACCACCTCTTATTCCTATTCACAGTAGGGCAGGATCTTGCCAAGTTCTTGGATAGCACCTAGATGAAGCTTGACTTAGGCAAAAACAGTACGGAGATCCTTAATCCCAGAGTGGTGATATTATCTCAGCCTCAAGGGCATAAAGCCTTGGCCCTGGGGGTTGAACCCTGTACACTTTCCACTCCAGGTGAGGGCCGTGGGAGAGTGCAGACTGAAGGCTCCTTTCTTCTGCATGTGTAAAATTTGAGCTGTTATTTGAAACTCTCTGTTCCTTATTAAATGGCTGACCTCATTTTTCCCCTTTATCTCTGTAGTGGTGGAGATCCAAGAAGGGAAGACGACTATAGTAAGTATCATCAAGTTGGCCACTTATAACCTCTTTAACACTTGGAGTTGCCTGGCTGCTCCTCTCGGGAAGGGAGGGAGGCCCAAACTGGATCCTTCTGGCTCCAGGATCAGCTCCCTCCATGCCCATAAATCCCACAGTCTACTATTTTTCAAGCTGTATACTGTAGTGTGGCTAATCAGGAACAGTTACTATGCCTGGGCTGGGGCATCTGTTATTTGATTAAATTGGCCTTTGCTGATATGTTCTTTGGCAGATGATAAGTCAGTTTCCCAAAGGGGAAACTAAGGCACTGTTGCAGGCTTAGAGAGCCAGAGTTAGTTGACCCAGGACCAGGAGGCTGCCTTTCTTTTCTGCCTGGAATGACTAAGCTACTCCTTAAATGATGCATTTAAAAGGTGACATTCTCTGGGTCCTGGCCTCACTCGCTGGCGCCCTAGCTTGTCTGTCAGTAAGAAAGCTGGAATGATTCTTTATCCACCCTCTCCCCTTTCCCTCATTGAGCCCATCTCACCTCCCTTCCTTGGGGAGTCATGGGGCCTAGATTATCCTATAATCCTTAAAAGACAACATTGTTTTCACATGGCCTTCCATGCCTCCAAATCCTCAGCCACTGCAAAGAATTCCCAGAAGCCTCTGTAACTTCCATGTCAACCAGGGATTTAACCCATTAGGCAGCCAACCAGCCAAGCTCAGTCCTCCCCAAGGCCGTCTTCTCCCCAAAACCAGTGCATTGGATCTTCCTCTAGAAGATTTACTCAGCCTTTCTACTACTTAGCCTCAAAACAGTTCTGTCTTTTTAAGGGGCTCTTCGTCCCCTTGGGATACTTTTTTCCTTGATTCAAAGCTAAAACAAGCATTTACCCTATAACCTCCATGCTGAAGGAGAATACATCTGACTTTTGAGTGTAAAGTACATTTTTCTCATGTGGGGCATGAATCTGCTAATTTGTAGAGTGCACACAAGACACTGTGACCTATGAGAGCCCTCAGGAGAGGGAAGAGCCCAACCATGCCTAGAGAGGCACTGCCATGGCTGACTTTGGTTATTACTTTCTCCTCTATGAAACAAGATCGGACATCAACTTCACTAGGTTATGAGGGTTAAGTGAAATATGTGAACAGTTCTTAGCCTGGAGCCAGGCATATAATGAATCAATAAATATTGGCTCTCTCCTCCCAGCCCACTGTAATCACCTTCACCCCTACCCCTACAAAGTCTGCTGTGTACCTGTGAATTTTCTCTAACTCACACATCTCCATTTCTGGTGTAGTTGTGGTTGCTATGGCAGAAAGATAGATAGCAGTGTCCCATATAGCTAAGCAGTACTTCCAACCCCCTTTCCCTTTGGCCGGTTCTACCCCAGGAGATAGTGTTGCTACACTCGCAGAGTCTCTAAGATCTGTTCCAGCCTCGTTCACAATCCAGGGCATCGTCAGCAAGGCTTTCTAAACTCCCCCCTTGCAATTGGAGCTAATTCTCATCATTGGTTTATTGTGCCTGGTAATTCCAAGGCTGTGTCACAGAAAACGGCAGCAAGAAGGAGGTCATTTCACATGTGGCCTCAGCAAGGTTTGAAAGGTGACATCTCAATGTTGAAAGCAGGGAGCAGGACAGGGGAATGTATCTTCCCATCTGATTTTTTTTAATTAAAAAAAAAGTATGTACAGTACCTGCTCATATAGGCACAGCTCAGGTGTTCTCAGCCTTGGCATTATTGGCATTTGGGACTGGATAATTCTTTGTTGTGGGAACTGTCCTGTGCAGTGTTAGCTGGTAGAGCATCCCTCCTAGATGTTAGTCACCCTTTTCGCCAGTTGTGACTATCAAAAATGGCTCCAGACATTGCCAAGTGTCCCCTGAGGAGCAAAATCACCTCACTTGAGACCCACTGACATAGACCTTGTTCTATAAGATATAGCTAGACACTGCAGTTTCCTCTGAGGACATGTAGGATGGGAGGGAGACTTCCTCTGGACTCTATATCCCTGTGCCATTTGAAACTTTTTGCCATATGCATGTCTTACTTTTCCCAAAGGGAGGAAAAGAAAGCACAGTTTTTTGTTTATGGGGTGTTTTTTTAGGGGGGCATTTCTTGAAAGAAATGCATTTAGTTGATACAGCAAACCCTTCCCTTTCTCTTGTCACCAGTATTCAGTTCATATGGTTTCTATTACCCCTGCCAGTCACCAAAACACATCCTTGTGGCCACCCTAAGGCTAGTATTAGCAACTGCAGAACAAACACCACAGTTCACAGAGACCTGCTAGCTATTCCCATAAGACCCTCCAAGATAAATTTTACCAGCATTTCCATCATTTTGGATTTTGCTCAGAGATAAGTGGCTCCCTGTCCCTTATATTGGCTTGCTTTCTCTGCCTCCCTAGATTGAAGGTCGTATGACAGAGACTCCCAAGGAGAGTCCAAATCCTCCTAACCCCTCTGGCCAATGTCCTATCTGCCGTTGGAACCTGAAGCACAAGTACAACTATGAGGTGGGTCTTTGCGTAGGGACACTCAGGTCTGCATGTCACAGAGATCCGATTCCCTAGTTAATTGGAGCAGCATGCTCCCCTTGCAGCCACTGCTGCATCTTATAGTGTCACTGGAGACAGCATTTTGTGCAGTGACTCTAAACCCTGCTGCATGTTACAATAACCTAGGGAGCTTTAAAAAATAATGATGCCCAGGCTCCGCCCTAGACCAACCAAATCATCAGTCTCTGAGGGTGGGGCCTGAGCATTTTTTTTAAAGCTCTCCCATGACTATAATGTGCACTGGTTAAGTTCATGGTCTGATTGTTTTTCAGACCACCATGGCCCTGTAACCCAGCCCATAGAGGCTTACTCTCATGGGCATGGAGTCATCATCATCTGGGTTTGGCTTTCTTCCTTATTTACAATGAGGGTGTATTTGAACAGAAATGGTTCTCACTGTGATCTGGGAACATACTACTCTTTCCATGTTGGAGCTATAAAGATGCCTTCTAGTGCGGTGGTTTCCAGGGAGAGAGGATGGTGGTGAAAAATAACGATAACGCACTGAGTGCATGCTTTCTGTCAGGCACTGTTACAAGTGCTTATCTGTTTTAATTCACTGACTTTTCACACTGACCCTCTGAAATAGATACTTTTTTCATCCTCATTTTACAGATGAGGAAATTTAAGTTAATGAACTTGCCTCAGATCTCCCAGCTAGTAAGTATAAGAGCTGAGATACAAACTCCAAGGATACAAAGCCGGGGCAGAGCCCTGGTTCCTAACTACTGCTCTGTATGTGCTTTCTACAGATGGGAAGGACCCAGGGGTACACAGCCCTGGAGAAATCCTTACTTGTTCTTCAGAGCTCTCACTAGTGACATTAGCACCCTATTTTGGGGTTTCAGGTGATTCAGGCCGTGGGCCAGTTTGACCTGCAGGTTGTTCCTGTGCCCCTATGTGGAGTGGGATGACTAACGGCTGAGATCCTGGTCAGGTGATAAAAGCAGAAGAGGCCACATGCCCATGGGATCTGAACAGAATGACCCAACTAATCTCCTGGGCTGGAGGCCTTGGCTTCAGGCCACACGAGGGGTGTGCTCTTTCGCTGTGCCCTGGGGCCCTACTGCTGATGGCTGCCTAGAGCAATAGAAAGCAAGTGCAGGCAAAGGGGCAATGTTCAGAGCTTTTTGCCATGTGGAAGTTAGTGGGGTTGTGGGCATACTTGGAATCTCAGCTGCTAATAGGAAATTAACCCCATACCTGCCCAGCCACATGGGGCACTTTTCTTACCAGCCTTTTCCAGGAAATGTACTTGGCTCTGTTTATCTAGCAGAAGAAATCTAATCCCCTCCGAGGTAAAGGCTAAAGTTGTTTTTCCTTTTACTCCTTTCCACTGAGAGCACCGTTAGCCTGAGTTGCATGAAGCTATCAGCTTGCTTGGCAGCCTGGGGGGGGGGGGGGGCTGGGGCTTCAGCCTAGTTTATTAGCCCTAGATTAATCTAATCCAAGTACTTTTCATCAGATTCTGAAGAGAACAGGGGTGGGAATTGGAGGCCTGGGTCCCTCAGGCACTGTCCAGTGATTAAAACAAATCTGTGGTTATACAGTGAGGCGCCTGCCAGGGAAGCAAGTTGGTTTGTGGAACAGGACTGCTAAGGTTGGTGTGCCAGGGCCCTGAGGGCAAGGGGGTGGTGAGTTTCATTTAACCCCTGCAAACAGTCCCTTCACCCTGTTCTATAAGAGTTGGAGTTGGGAGAGAGGTAGTCCTTTGTCTTGTTCTGGCTCTATCCTTGTTTCTGTGATCTGTCTCAGGCAGCCCGTTGGGCATGTGATGGTCTGAAGGAAGCACAAAAATCCTTTCCCATCTGGTCACAGGTGGCTTTATGCCTGCCTAGCACTTGAGGGACTGGCAGGAGATGAAGGGACTGTTTGCATATACTCTGGCCTGTGGCCTGTAGGCTTTGGGAGCTAAAGTGGTATGTGTTTTCCCTGTTATGTAGAAATATATAACATTCTCCTACGCTACCTAAAAAGAATCATTCAACAGACATTTTGTCACCAAGAAAGATACTACAGATGCATAAAAGATTGTTAACATTTTTTTAAAGAGCTTTTATTGTCTAACCTAGTCTACCTTATGGAGTTGCTGAGAGCTCTTGGATTGGTAATGAGACACAGAAAATCTCACTAAGTTGGGATTAACCTTTGTTAGGATGAAAGGAGCAGAGATGTGTGGAGAATTTATTCTTAGGTAGGTTCCCAAGAGACATTGACCCCTTGGAGTGCTGGATCCTACAGCCTCCCCTGTGTGCCGTGCAGCCCTGGTTCCTCAATATCAAATGCAAGCCCAGCTGACCCACATCTCCTGTTTTCGGTTTTCACTAGGATGTTTTGCTGCTTAGTCAGTTCATCCGGCCTCACGGAGGCATGCTACCCCGAAAGATCACAGGCCTATGCCAGGAAGAGCACCGAAAAATTGAGGAGTGTGTGAAGATGGCCCACCGTGCAGGTAGAAGGCCCCTCAGGATGTTACAGGCATCTCTCCCCACCCAGCTACCCCGAGTTCCAGCCCTTCCTAGAAGAGAAGTGGATATTCAGAGTGTTATTTTTACTCACACACACACACACACACCCCGCCCAGTGGTAAAACCCCCACCAGACACACGTCCTTTGGCTTTCCTTCTGGCCCACTCAGAGCTGCGAGGGAGCTGCAGAGACCATTTCTTCTTCCCTCCACTCAGGTCTGCTCCCAAATCATAGGCCTCGGCTTCCTGAAGGATTTGTTCCAAAGAGCAAACCCCAACTCAACCGGTAAGCAAACCTGGGTGTGAATAACTTAAACATTCTGTGGGCCCTCGGCTCTCACTGGATTCTGCTGGGGAAACCATTTGTTGGCGCTATCTCATAGCTCAGGCAAGCTAGAGTGTGCCTGGGCTGTCCATTCTATCCCCTTCCAACTAAATCGCCCCACCCACATCATTCCCACCTCTGCTGTAGTCCTTCCTTACTGGCCTCAGCCTCTTTCCTCTTCCCTTGCCTATAGGGCCCTTAGCACAGGGGCAAGAAAGGTAGGAAAGCCTGCTGATTGGGCATTAGAATGTGCTAATCCCCTGTTTATGACATCACACTGCGTTGCTATGGGGATGTCAGAGCATTTCTGCAAACTTTCAGTATCCTAGCTTTCTCTAGCCCTGGGGTTATTAGAAGGCAGAATGAGGTCTTAAAACTGGGAGGGCTTGGGCTTGGCGCCTATGGCTCAAGCGGCTAAGGTGCCAGCCACATACACCTGAGCTGGCGGGTTCGAATCCACCCCGGGCCCACCAAACAAGAATAAATAGCCGGGCCTTGTGGCGGGTGCCTGTAGTCCCAGCTACTTGGGAGGTGGAGGCAGGAGACTCACTTGAGGCCAGGAGTTGGAGGTTGCTGTGAGCTGTGATGCCACAGCACTCTACCCAGGGCGGCAGCTTGAGGCTCTGTCTCACAAAAAAAAAAAAAAACTGGGAGGGCTCTCTGGGTAGGGCCACCATGTATAGCTGCGCAAGTCAGGCACTGCACAACTTCAGGGCAGAATCCATATAGCCTAGATCACAAACAGTGCTCCCTAGAGTTGTACAGTTAACAACCAACACAGCTGCAGCCTGGGAGGGCCCACAGTTTTATAGAGGAAGAGAGGAGCCCCCTAGACCCTAGAATTAATCAGTCTGCCCTCCAGCCTAAGTAGGGCAGCCCCTCTAATGTAAGAGCAGATTCTTACCTAACACCCAAGCAACTATCCTATTGCAAGTTCCTCTTCCTTCTCCAACTCTGACATAACCATGCTCACGTTTTCCTATGTTTATATTATCCCCTTGTTGAGAATAGAGCCAGTTCTGTAAGATTGATCTTTGAGGTTCTTATTCTCCCCTACCCCTTCCCCCTGTCCAGCTGCCACTGGTGGTTCTCAGACTGGAATCAGGAAGATAGAACTTCTCTCTGTAGAATACCAAAGATGACTGAAGGAAAGCAAGACACCTCAGCTCCCAGCAAACCTCATAGGTTGATCCCCAGCAGAGCCCAGGCATGGAGGGTGTGAGGCCAGTTGCTGGTCTGGGGGTATAGGGTTGCTTCCTGGTACCTTGCTGCCTCTGTCCCTAGAGGCTGGGTCAGAGCTGGACTTTCACCAATGCATTGCCAGCACCCTGGTCCTGTGCCTATCTCTACCTGCACCTCCCACATTGTTAGCTGGGCTACCAGCCAGCAGCCCTGGGGAGCAGGACATGTTAATCCCTTTCTGTGTCTCCCAAATGTGCTATGGACCATTAAGGGTTTGAGCCCACCTCCCTCTGGCTTTTTAAGAAATAGCAGCAAGCCTGAAAGGACACAATCCATCTTGTCCCTCAGGCCTTTGAAGCTAGGCCAGGCTCCCTCCCATACATCCGTTGTCCTTTAATGTGACACAGGATTGATGATGTGTGGGAGCTCTTGGGTTGCAAAAGGCCACCCCGGGGGGAGGGGGAGTTCAGTCTTCGAAAGAAATGGATTTCTTTGCAAAGGACTGTATAATTCCATCTAGGGGTTCTTGAGCTGCTGTGCATTGGTCCAGGGTCTGCTGGGACCATGCTTTGTTCTGCTGTTGCCTACCACCCCCCACCCAACACACCTATTCAGGAGAGGTAGGAAAGGGCCTAGAAAGAGCCTTGGTTCTTCTGAGAACTGGGATGTTCCCAGAGAGCTGACTGGAGGCCATCCAGCTCACATACAGTCAGCTGGCTGTTCCGTGTGGCATAGGCATTAGGCCCAAGGCTAGCTGAAGCCCAGCTTCCCTCAGATCTCTCCAATGCATGGGGAAAAGAATGGCTTTGGGGCAATAAATCCAGAGAGCTTGGTCATCCTGAGGATCCCTGGGAGTCCTTGAATCCCACTGAGCACCCTCTTTGGGAAGCCTGATCCCATATCCCAATTTTTCACCAAAACACTGGGAGAATCCAGCAAAGGGGCCTTTGGTGTTTTCCTTCCTTTACCTTATTCTTGCATTTTCTCAGGATTACCACCATAGAAAAAGCAGGTCCCAGGGCCACCCCGTCCACAGTCATCACTCTGGCTGGATACTTGGGGAAGGCCCTCTCCTCTCTGCCCTGTGCATATTCAGACTGTGGGCCAGCACCTGATGCAGACACCCTCTGCACAGGGCTGACAGCAGAACACGGTCCAGCAGAGCTCAGTTAAAATGCATAAATCAGTAATCATTTACAAGTTTTTAGCCAAGCTTACTAATTCTTTTTTTAATTAAAAAGCTTCTTATTTGAGGGTCTCCATAGACAGCTGAATTGAGCCCTGACCTAAATAGAGGCAGGGAAAGATTCCTGGCCTTTTTCATGGCTGAGCTTTCAGACAAAGGATGGGCCTTTCTGAATAGGATCCAAGTTCTATTCTGGACAGAGTAAACCCCAGTCCTATCTGGCATGAGCCACTCTTCTGGGAACTATCAGAGCCCTGGCCATCCCCAAAAGAGGCCAAAGAACCACAGGTGGCAGCCATCTTTCCCCACCCCCTTCCTACTGAACCTTCCTAGGCTAGGGCTGCATTCATGGGCCCTCACCATTTCGCTCCCATCATGGGTTGGGTGAAGGGCTAGAGTCCTTCACCCAGTTATGATAACATGGGGAGCTCCCTGAAAGCTAGGGTGGCTGAGTGAGTCAAGTGAAGAAGAGTGAAGGGTTCCTGTAGGCCATTACATCGCCTATCCTCTCCCCATGGCTGAGGTCAGAGAGGAGTGATCTGCTCCCCAGCAAACACACACAAACATTGACAACTCATAAAGATCAAGGGAGCTCGTGGCCCTGAGCTGCCTGACCCTGGCCACACACACTTTGCAGCAGCAAAAGCCCAGCCCATCTGTTTACAGGACACTCAGCAGCTACTCCCAGGAAAATCCCTGCCCTTCGAAAAAGGACAACTGGTGAAAGTGTTTGCTTGGCCCAAGGAGGCCATGCTCCATTTTCCCAGTTCTAGGACAGGACCCCAGTCCTCACAGGAACCTCCTTGTCCTCCCTTCACAGGTACCTGACTCGCTGGTCTCCCCGTTCCGTCAAGCCCATCTATAAAAAAGGTCACCGCTGGAACAAGGTGCGCATGGCTGTGGGGTCACCCCTACTGAAGGACAACATCTCCTACTCAAGAATGCCTTTGAAGTGGTATCATTGACTGAGAGCAGGGCTTCCAGAAAACCTGGCTGGAGCACCTCCCACACTTCCTCTGTGGAATAGGAGGCTCACTCATGAGCCTTTACCCACAACCACACTCTTGCCCTCTCCCACCAAGATGGCTTGGGTCCTCCAGTGCGAATGGGCAAGGGAAAAGGGACAGTGGGACTAACTTCAGTACCATCATCCTGCCCAGGAACACCACTGGGAGGATAGGCAAGGGCAGTTGGGTCCCTTGGCAGCTGCTGTGGGTTTGAGCTAAGCTCTGCTCAGGGACAGGAGTTTTGCCCAAAGGAATGTATGTCATAAACATGGTTCATGGGCTTACCTACTGTGTGCTCAGTGCTTGGGAAGTTGGGGGGCCTGGACACATTTCTGGCTGATTGCTGAGTACTGAGGCTCATCTCTTGTGGTGGGCCACATGATTGCACCTGGAGGC